GAAAAGCCCAAATTAGCGGACAATTTTCAAGTTGGCGGTTCTGCGTTTTGGGCGTTTTTGATTTTGATTTTGATTCTGAATATCATATTATCAAATTCGCTTTAAATGTGCGACTCTCTTAGGATGCTCCGAAAGAGGGGAGGTGGTTAAAATTTAGTGTTTTTTTTAATAGCATAGCGGATTATTATTATTTTTGCATAAACATGAACATTATTTGTCTGAAGATTATAAATTTCAATAATTTATGACACAGTTTCAATTAATAATCTAGAACAAACCCAAATTAGAAATGCCAATTATTTATCTATTAAAGCCGAATTAACAATGAATGATTTTATTTTAAAATTCCCCATTCTCTAAATAGAAATTAAACACAACATTTTTCCATAGAAAACACTCCCTCCCACCCTCATAAAAGTGTTCAAAAAATCGAAATCCGAGACCCCCTGCTCTATTCAAAAAATGAAAGAAAATATTGGCCCATAGTCATATACGAGCTCGCACACACTAGAGCTGGGCAAACAGAGCACAATATTTTGACTGTTTCGTAATTTATTTGACATATTTATGAGGTTCATAAATACAGATACATATAAAAATGCGTTTATTTCTATTTGGCGATTTTTTAGTTTTTATGGCAAGCAAATAAAAAAAAGAACAAACAAAAAGCAGCAAAAAGTCAGCATCAAAAATGTATTTATACGTGCAAGTTTGGACTACTTCCAAGCCCAGGCAGCGTGTTACACAACAGCACCAGCAACACACAGAGTAGACTCCTCTTTCTGGCTGTTGCCTGGTCAAAGTTCCAATATCGAAACATAAAACATTTTATGTAATGATTTCCCTCTCTCACCATCGCTGCTTTCTGGCTGCTCCTTTTGGCGGGTCAGCTGCCCGAACTATTGACAGCTGATGATAAAAAATGGTTTAAAAATAAACCAAAAATATGGAAAAACATGGCCAGAAAGAGGGCGGGAGAAATGGGCCCCAACCAGAGTGTGGTTCCAGTGGGAGGGCAGAAAAATGGTTAGTTACGTTTGGTTTCAAAAAAATAAGACTTACACTGCCTTCATTTTGTGACTAGACTTTGACAAGTGGCTATTGGACCCATCGAAAGTGACTTTGGGCTAAGGTTCAATGGACCTAAGAGTGTATACAGATAGCTTAACTAATTTCCCTTGCATTTTATTTTTTCTTAGTCCACGACACATAGGCAATGATGTTCATACCTATCTTTATAAACGCAAGAAATCTATCACCCAATATGGTACATCGGTTCTCGGGTTTGATCATCATTCGTAGGGCGTATCCATTTATAAAGATTTCTCAAAATCTCCTCCCAGTTCTTGCTTTGGAAGCAACAGTCCCGCATTCAATATACCGAATTTATTCTCAATTGGTCCATTACAGCCCCTCCAGCCGATCCCTTCCATTTGAGTCCATCCCGACACATCCACTCACGCATTAAACATTTTTCGCCTTTACACTTTTAATTTATGTATTTACTTTTGGATTATTTGCTTTTCCTGCCGTTCTCCGCCTTGCAGACTGTGTACTGTGTTTTCGTATGCCTACCACCTGCGGCATTTTCGCTCGCCGAGACAGAGGCTCTTATTGAAATTCCAAAGTTGAAATGACTGCAAAACGAGAAAGGCATGGGAAAGGTGGTGATGGTGATGGTCGAGGTCTGGCTACATGTTGACAGCCATGTCAGTTACAACTCCCATCGTCGTCATCGTCATCGCCATCGTCATCAGTTGGTTGCTGCCTTCCCGTTCTGCCTCCCTTTCTGGTCGAGTTCTGTGGTCGCGTCTTGGTCTGGAGTCTGCTTTGAGTCTACCCTCTGCATATACATATATTTATATACATTTTTTGAAGGGCCTCGCTTTAAGCGTGGCAATGGACCACTTACGAGGCAACTTGGTGGAGACCTTCTTTTGACACCCTCCCATTCCCAATTCCCAGCTCCAGCTACAATCCCTACTGAATGTTTATCTGGGATGTCTGCCCAGGCACTTTGTTTGGCTGCTTAACTTTTGATCAGTTTTTAATATAACTTAATGCGCACAAATTAAATGCATTTTGTCTGAAAAGTTTTATTGCAAATATTTACTCTGGCGTAGGTCAGTGGCTTCGCCAAAAACGAAATCGAAACAACGAAATAATGCCAGTAAATCAGAGCATTAGATATTCAAATATGCAGGCATTAAACTGGATAAAAATCCGAAATTCAGAACAGAAAATGCTTACAGAAAATACAATTTTAATTTAAACAAAAATCCATTTTGGTGAACACACAAGTGATTTCCAATAATTATCCAAAACTCAAACTGATTTTAATAGAAATTCGTAAATTAAGAAATTATCCTACATCAATCTAGAAAAAACGAGGGGGAACGTTGTGAGTTGCTGCGTACACCGCAACTCTACAGTTATACCCGATACTAAGTCAGTATGGCTCTCCTCCGGCAGACGCCGCTAATATTAAACGACACGACAAAGAGTGCGTGCGAGAGAGACAGAAAATCAGTCTGAGCGTGACGTCGGGCGCTGCGTGGCCACTGCAAATTGATTTGTTCCTTTTGGCTATAAAAATTATCTGATCTGATCCAAATTCAGCAACCGGATAGATATAGTCATTCTCTATGATTCTGCGTTTTTAGTTTTCTCGAATCTGCAATATTGTGGATGCAACAGATTTTCGTCCTTTGTGGGGGCGGAAGGGGGTGGGGCGAAATTTTGAGATATACGTTTTATAGTGAGATCTAACAGGAGTGCGGATACCAAATTTGGTTACTCTAGCGTTAATAGTCTCTGAGATTTGTGGATGCCCCAGATTTTCGTCCTTTGCGGGGGCGGATGGGGGTGAGCCGAAATTTTGACACGAAACGGTCAAGGTCCGATATCACAGGAGTGTTGAACCCTAATTTGATTGCTCTAGCTCTTATGGGTTCTGAGATCCTTGAACTCATATTTTGCAATTGGCAAAACCGACAATTAGACCTGTGTGTTAGAGAGAGACAGAGCGAGAAAGAATGAAATTGTTTTCTTGATTCTGGCTACAATAATTATACGATCTGGATGAGATTGGGTATTTTACTAAAATAGAGTCAGACCTGAAGTGAGAGAATCGAAGAGAGGGGGAGCGATAAGCACGGATAAGCTTCTCTTTGTGAGAGAGTTGTGCTGGTCCACGAATCTATGTACTTTATAACAAATACTGACTCCCCGAACGCATCGTGAATAGAAAATGTTGCTATGATTTACATATCTTGAAAGATAAAGTTATATTTAATCTAGAAATATTCGGAGGAGATCTTAAAGTACTTTAACATCGATATAGAGAGAGATACTTAAACTCCAAGAACTGTAGGGGCTATACAAGAGAAACAAACTCCTAATCTTCGCTTGAAAGAAATACAAATGAAAAGTGCAACAAGGTTACGAAAAGCTTTCGATGCAGGGACAGGGAGAGCAACAAAAAAATGAGAGAAACCTATCCTTACCTACAATATAACTTAACTGCCAGGCAAGGGAGTATGCGTATGATAAGACTGGTCATTCCCATCGCCCATGGCCTGACTGTGGTGACCCTCTCTGTCACCCTTTGCCCAATAGACTCCACTTTATGTCAGTTCTGTTGGGGTTGGGGTTGGGGTTGGGCATCCCTCTAGCTAAATGGTGAACCATTAAAAGTGGACATTTGTAAACATAAACTGACAGATAAATACCGAAAGCAGACATGGAACTTTACCTGGCCGCAGCACCTCCTCACCTCCCGGATCACTGGGATGGTGAATAATACGAAGAGTTTCCCCTGCTACTTCTATTTTCATTTTCAGTGGCTTACATTACACTCGCAGTGGGGACGGGACACACATCTATGTATGTACGTAGAGAAAACCGTTAAAATACTTATCAAACGTAGATTGTAAAAGTTTTTTATAACAAAATAAAATGCCATGGACATGGTTGTTGTTCTTGCTGGGGTTCTTTGCTGGAATGGAATGGAGTGTAGGGCTTCGAATTGGGAGGTCAACAACAATGCTAAACAACAATGTGCAGCTGAAGGACAATTTTTTTCCACCTTCTGATCCCTAGTCCTTCGCATCATTGCGATAAATGCAGCCACATCGAGTGGGCCAGGAGCAGGGGCAGAAAATGTACATCAAAATGCTCGCTCGTTATATGGGTCAATAAGGGAAACAAGAGCATTGGGCAAAGGTAGAATCAGAAAAACAAAATGCAACAAAACCTGAAAAATCATGGCATTGAAGAAAATTTCAGCAAAAAATAGTTTCAAAGAATCTTGGGGGTTCGATGGCGAACTTACCTATAAACGGAATTCGAAAGAACCGATAAGAATCTTCAAAAATCAAATAGTTTTTGGGAATGCAAGAAAGAGTGAATAAAACGTTTAAATGCTCCTGGATCGAATCAATGCAACCTTGATGCCAGTCGAAACGGCTTTCAAATTAATCAAAGATCGCACACTAAACGATTATAACAACCAAATAAATTTTTTTATCGAGATATTGCTTCATCATGCCGAGCTCAAACACCCTGAGCGGAGCATCCGAATGAGAGGTGAAAACCCAGAGAAAAACAAAAGAAAAAACGAGAACTAGAGGGAACTAGATGACCAGTTCGGCTGGCACTTTGTTGCAACATTTTGTGTTGTCATATGAAGCATTGGCGAACGGAACGGAACGGGGCACAACAACGGAAGCCGGCGGTCGGGTCAGATGCTTGCTCGCTTTTCAAAGGCATGGTTGGAATAGTAGTTAGCATCCAATTGGATTCATGTGGAGGTAGAGGTGGATGTAAAGGCGGACAGGTTGGGTGGGAGAAGGTGGGGTAGTGGTGGCGGAGGAGAAAGGTCAATTTTCTAATCAGGACAGTGGCTGGGGTCTGTCGCTCTCCCCTTCGGTTAAGGTCAACTTTGTTATTGTACCATCACGAAATTGGTTCGGTAGAAAATAATAAAAATACGCCACTAATTGAAATGTGGAATGTTTTGTCCAGTGGAGATTTACGATTTTATTTACTCTACCTGACAATACCACATTTTGGAATAGTCCAAGCCGACTGTAGAGTGAATTTTCACAATTTCCTTGATGACGGAATGCCTAAGACTCTGCTTTTTTGTATACACCACAGTCTCAACTGAAAAATTGTGTCTTCGATTACTGAACTGAGCAGGGAGATGTCCACCTACTTCTGGGGTACTTTCCGGTATCGAGGCAGATATATTCCACCACATAGTTCTTGTCGTCAGTTCCAATAATTACCGAAAGCCTGTGCCTGTTCGACCTTCGTTTGATCGTGTCTGGATATTGGGACTTCTGACATACCCCCAGGTGGATGGGCACTGGATACCAAACGGCATACGTCACCAAGTTGCCTTTCAATTTCGTCTGCACGGATGGGGAAAATAATGGTTTTGGTTTACGAATTTCTTCAGCCGACCTGGTTGCAAACCTACACTGGGAATGGTTTTATTTGGCGTGCGGCAGATGGCTTCATTGCTTGGAAAAGCTAGGAGGATTATAACTGCTGCAAAACTGATTAAAATGGTTGAAGTATTAGAAAATTTATTTGAACCACCTACTTGAGCGTCATTACTGTTTGTCCCATAGGGAACAAAAATCTGTCATAATATAGGAAAAGGTATTCTAATTTTCTATGGAAATTGAGGGGAAACAAATGGAAAATTCAGCTTGAAATTAAATTCTCATGCGGTCCAGCCTTGCTTTGACAATATTTAATCTTATGTATAGAGTAGCTTCCCTGTGTGCCCGCACGCTCGTCTCAGTTCGTCGCGTTGCCAGCGGAGGACGGCGAGGACCCAAAACTCTTTTATGTAGTGGAGAGATTCTACGATTTGTAAAATTGTGTTTAAGAAACGATAGTTTCATCTTTTTAAAGCATCACAAGAATCATCTGCCTTATAAGTACGAGTGTCTTTAACTTGCAGTGTAACTCATTTTATTTTCAGATTTTATTGCGGCACTCAAGGATGTCTCCGTAATGATACCACAGGCAGTGAAACGTGGCAGTAATGCCTTGTTCACGTGTAATTACGATATGGAAAACGATACTCTATATTCGGTGAAATGGTATAAGGGTAAGCGTGAGTTTTATCGCTACACGCCCAAGGAGAATCCGGCCATGAAGGTCTTCGCCATGACAAGTGGTCTCAATGTTGAGGTGAGTACCACATGGAACACATCCCCCATGCATCCCTCTCTATCTCCATAAAGAGCACATGTTACTGCAGATGCGTGTAAATTATATCCATAATGGCTGATTGCCAGTCAACTGCCTCTCCCACCCTCGCACCCACCACGCACCATAACAGCATTTTCCCTTACTTTTTGCCCACTGCTCGCTGTAATTATGCCAGTCCATCCGTAGACGAATCCGTTAAAAGTTGTTGGGCGTGGCCAATTAGTCGCGCTTGCAATTGACTTGCGGCTCATTAAAAAACAATATATACAGATTGCATAAAGGACCAGCGACAAATATGGAAGAAGACCAAGAAGTGAGGGCTAAAAGATCCCACTTCAAGATACCCTGGCAGATTTGTGAAATTAACTCTTTTTTCAAGTGTTGAGTTGGAAGAAGATTAATGTTATCAACTTCGGAAACCCTCCCGCACAATTCCCCTACATTCAGATCCAAAGCATTGCACAGCATTTAAATTGTGAGTTGATTGATAAATATTCATATATATTTTATAGACTCAGATATTCATTATGTCATGTTGTGTGCGCTACCCTCTGCTAGGGTATAATGAGAGAGTTTTTAAGTTTAATTATTATTATTACGTGGAAATGCACACGAGCCAATTAGGTATCGGTGCCAGCAAATTGGGTTAAACAGCCAAGCGAACTTCAGGGAGTGATCCCGCTCCCGCTCCGCCCACACTAGCTGCTCTCCTGCAAGTGTGACATATATGCCGGCATATTAAACCCCCTGTTAAATGCAATTTATTAAATTTGATTTTTATTAAGTGAATTGCCATATGAGGTTTCATCATTTTCCACGGCAAAGATTAAACTCCAAGTACGAAATATTCCAATTGAGTATATGAGCAACTATTCCAGGGCTCAAGTGGAAGAGGATTAAGCCCAACACAAATTGTGGACAAGCGCATAATCAAAATGGATATGATAATGGCTTGGGGTCAAGTGAGGAATGTAAGGAATATTTAAAATAGTTTTACGAGAAAGAATCACCTTCTGCAAAAGGTTCGATCTTCTTCTATCAATTAATCTATTTGTTGGGATACATTTTTCGTAAGTGTTAGATCCATGGAAGATCCATTCGAAATGTTAAATAACATTTTCTGAAGAGGATTAAGCCCTTCGACCGTGAGATAGCCCCACTCATGACCACGAGTCAAATCACTTTGAGTCAAAGCAAATCTTAATCAAAGGCAGACGACCCCTTCAGCCTTAAATTCAACTCTTCACCTTTATACCCTCAATTTGCAGTCACTTTTCATCAGCCAGGCAGGACCTCTCCTCCTCCCTGCCCCTCCTCCCTGCCCCTCCTACTCGCTGTTCACTTCGCCATTCATAACCAAGACGAAATTCTTTTTTCTTTCGTTCCTTTTCACTTTTGCCTTGGCAGGTGGGTTATATTCAATTTCTATGCACCGCGTCCAGCCAATTTTCGCCCAACTAATTTTTATTACGTTCTTCATTTCCTTTCACGTACCTTTCTTTGCCATACCTCCACCACTTTCTTTGACCCTTCTTTCTCTCTCTCTCTCTCCCTCTTACTCTCTTTTCCCATACAGCGCAACCTTTCGAATCAAAGTCATGTCGTGCTGCAGTCGGTGCCGTTGAATATTTCGGGCAAATTTACATGCGAAATATCCGTTGAGGCGCCCACATTCCAAACCGCCATGGTGTCCGGCGAAATGGAGGTGGTTGGTAAGTAAAAAAAAGCCCCTTCCCATACACCCATAAAGGGATATGCAATCAAAATATGGATAGGGTTAAAAAGTGCAAAAAGGAGCCAGAAAGAGAAGGGAACCAGAAATTGCGGCCGTGGCAAGCAAATTAATTAGAACAAACGTGTTAGAACCTGGTACTGGGTGGCTTCAGTTTCGGTTCTCTCCTCTTTTGGCGCCAAAAGCAAATTTTACATTTCCGCTCCTTGTCTCACTCCCCACTCTCTCGAACACTCTTTGCAGAGCTACCGGAAGAGCACACCGTGGTCACCGGGATACAGGCGCGCTATCGCATTGGCGATTTGGTCGATGGCAATTGCTCAATTAAATACTCGAAACCGGCTGCTAATTTGACATGGACTATTAATGGTATTGTGGTAAGTTTTGGTTTCGTTTACCACTGCTATCCGGACGGCTAGCTGGACACGCCTATTTCGCCCATTCTCTTCAATTAGACGGCAAAGGAAAGTGAGCGTGCGGGCGGGCGAACGGGTTGATCGGTTTCAATTGATAGCTGGCAGTTTTTCAATTAGTCATTGGCCAAAGAGGGGGCCAAATTGCTGTGTGCCGACACTTTGGTTGGATTTCGCATTCGATTGGGGTATGAATTTACGGGTAAAACTCGTTAAACAGTACTTGCATGTAAGACAGTGTGAAAGATGGATGGACTGAACGGGAGGTTACTGGAATGTGTAACTGAACTATATATTTGTATTATTTGTAATGTATTATTGTGACGTAAAATGTGGTTATAAGATTACCTTAATTTATTAATGAAAATATTCTATGAATAACTATATTAAACCGGGGGAAGTTCTAGCACTTAAAGACATGATTGTTCTTCTTTCTAATAAAAGTATTAAATACTAGGCGACAAGCACTCGCTTAGCTTGATAAGTTTTGATCCCTTGCGAATTTTGTTCGGCTCAATCCACTTGTAGTCCTCACTATTTTACTCGATCATCAATCGAACAATTTCAAGAAGCCTGAAAAATGTACTTACATGAAAGTTGGAGCATTGCTTTCCCCATCTTCTAGCGTTTAGTGTGCGATTTTTCATTTCTCGTTTGTTGCACACTTTTTGGCACCTGTGTGAGTGTGTGTTTGTGGGTGTTCTAATTCTTCCTCCTCGTCTTCTGCAACTTTTTCATTTGCCTAGACTCATGCCCCTCTCTCTGCCGCCCTCTAGCTGTCTCTCCACACTCAGATATATATATTTTTTGATAGGCCGTCAGTTTTTATGCCTTTCGCCTTTGGTGCGCTGGATGTTTTATGGCCGCAACCACAGCCGTCGACTCCAAACGGAGGTCACACTGCCTCCTGCCAGTCCTCGCCCAGCTGCTGTCAGGCCGCTTCGCATGATTGCGCACAGGTGTCCGCAGAGGAGAGGAGTGTCCATGGAGTGGCTGTTGCTGGGGCTGGGGCTGGGGCTCGGGGAGCCTGGGGCAGAAAAGGCTGACATGTCCCGGCATTTTGCGTTTGGTTTTTCAAGAAACGTTTAGGTTGTCAGCTAGTTTTTCCTTTGCGTTTCGTTTCGTTTTTATGGGACAGAGCTGTGAAGTTCCTCCACCGGGGGCATTACGAGCTCCCCAGACTTTCGGCTGCGGGAAGTGTTATTGTTGCCCCTACTGGGTGGAAGAGGGAGAGGAACGACGAGGGTTGGCTGGCAGCTGGAGTATAGTAAATGCGTTGTCAATGTCAAGACCTCACCTCCAGTCATAACTCATATTTGTGGCCTCTCTCTGTGTGTGTTTTGGGAGAGTTTGGGAGAGTTTTGGGTGTTGTAAGTTGGTTGGGCTTGCCCATTGGGTCGAACGACTCGATAGAAAATGACGATCTGAGTTCAAAATCTGAGGCCGTAAACAAAGTATTCTAGTCGAACAAATTTGCATTTGATTGAGTTGAGTAATTTAATTGATTAATTATTTAATAATGAATCAAAGTATGAATCAATTTAAGTGTCAGACAGAAGAGCATATACATGCATACATGTATGCATATTTTCTAAAACATAGTATTTTCTGTGTACGACAGTCTCCGAGACTAACCAACTAGGCGCCCACCAAGATGGAATACTCTGCTTATTATGGTTTCTTCACAAAATTAAAAAAATAATGTATATATTTTTTTTTTTTGAACCAAAAACCCTGTACCAAACATTTTAGACCATTTTTGTTAGCCATGGAAGCGAATACTCGCAAATATTTTAGTTAGAAACGTCAAAAACGTCTCAACTTCAATTTAAGATTTAATCATTATCAAAACAAGCAGTCAGCTAAAAAATAGATATACAAACATATGTATGTATATGATAAAAATGCAGAGAAAACTAACACAAACAACACTTAAGTGTTTCCTACACCATGCAGTGGGTGCGGCCACTTGATCTTTTAGCTAACGAGCGCATTTCAACAGGAGCACCACTCTCCCCTCTACCCTCTCTCCGTTCCAACGTCACCAACAGGCCATCATGTGTGCTGTCAGTTGTGGGTGGATGGCTGGGTGGATAGATGGGTGGATGGATGGCTAGGTGGCTGGTCGGGTCAGGCAACGGTATCTGCAGAGGCACTTCTAACTAAACTCACCGCAAACAAAGTGGCCTCGTCTTCAGCACAGCTCTGCCATGTCCTTTGCGCCTTCCCATCATGGTGTATCACGCCATCATCATCATCGTCCTTCCATCGCCATAGTTCTGGGCTCTCTGCTCTAGTTAATCACTCAAGCGTAAATCTATTCATCATTCATAAGTTATAAATTTGCCTGTGCTGTGGCATGGTTCCCTTTCCTTTTTGGGCGGGAGGAATGAGTAGAAGTGTCAGCTTTTGGGATAGTTATTCCTTTCATATTGTGGGGTACAGCACACTTCATTGGCGGTCGGTCGCACTATCGAAGAGGCGGCTGCAGCTGTCCCATTGATAAATATTTATAAATTGATTTTGTTGGAAATTGGAGCATCTGCACGTTTGAATCGCACTTGACATTCTTCTCCTTGCGCTTGTGCTTTCACATAGGTGCCACCGCATCACATCAAGACGTATCAGATTGAGAAACAGGAGAATACCACACTGGAATCGGTTACAAGTGCCATACATTTCATGGTCACCACTCAGCATTTTCTCAAGGGCCAGATGAGGGTAAGAGCGAGACCCACGCAAGACACATTCCCCAATTGGTTCTGTTCAGACTCTAATAAAGTTTCTTCCTCTCTGGTTGTTAGCTCAAGTGCACGGCCAATATCTTTGACATCTTCAAGGAGGAAATGGAGAGTGTTATTGAGGAGGACAGACCCAGGATAATGGCCTCCGGCAGGTCGTACGATATCAACAACTATCCGCTCGATGAGCATACGAATGGCGAGAGAGGCTTCGAGGATCACAATGAATCATATTTGACATACTATTCGGGTAAGTAGTCGAATAATTAACAATAATTGATCCAACAAAATAATAGCCTATACGAGTAAATGTCCATTGACTAAAATCAATAATTTACTCATTTTCCTTGCAATTTGGGTTGAAAGAGATTCCTTTGAGGCCTATCTTTTAGTTATTACGTTTGACTGGAATTGAATATGATTTTATTGTACGATCTAGTGATTTGACTTCAGAAGAAGTACGAAGAAGTTGTTCAAACTTTCGGCCAGATTCGTGAAACCTAGGGGACTATCTTTTATCTAAATAGATCATAGATGGCATAAACCAATTCATATGTAAATACTATGTAAGCATTTTGAAAGTTTGTGTTATTTATTCCCCAGCTTCTAAGACGATGTTGCGAAATCATTAATATAACAGGTGAAATGCTGTCTCATCCTCACAAAAGGCATGCTAAATCGGCCAATTGTCCTTTTTGGTTGCAGCAGAAAATGGAGATTTCTCTAGTTTTTTAAATATTTTGAATTTTAAGATTTAAAATTAGAAGATATCTGATGAATATATTTCTTCCCCGTGCGTCTTAATCTCTTTCATCGAACGTTTCCATTACACGAGAGTCTTTGCACTGCTGAATTTCACCAAATTTGAGTAGTAAACATTGAGAATACATCGCAAATTCAGTTGCACCACAAAAAAGCAGGACAGCCTCAAGTATTCACCCAGACGGTGGCTCGAGTGGGTTCGTGTGTGTGAGTGTATTTGTGTGTTTAAAATGCATTTGCATAAAGTTCGGAACGGAGTACAAACTGGAACCGGGACATCCAATCTCCCCACTGCATCTGCTTCGGTGCTCCGCTCTGGCTCTGGAGTTCTGTTCGGGCGCTGCGTTTCAAAGAATTTTGCACACTCGCTTGCGCCCGAGTCCATGGCGCTGCCATCAGTCGCAAACTGAACTCAATTTTAAATACAATTTTCAGCTCAATGCGTTTACATTCATGTTATTCTTGGTGTTGATGCTTGGTGTTAAGTAAATGTTGCCTCAAGTAAGTGGCAACACTTCTCCCAGCCTCTGCAAGGGAAACCGCAAAGGAAAAATGCGGAAAAACAGGAAGAGCGGAAAAATCCCTCGTTGCACATCCGCACATCTGTGCCGCGGGCCCCAATCATCAGTTCCGTCCCGCACAGTCTGCCACAATTCCGCGACAATCTTTCATGTCTAAACTTAGTTTATACCAATTTGATTTGCCCACCATTTGATTCGATAAGCCTGCTCCGCCTCAGTGGCTTCCTCCGGTGCGGTGGCAGCCCGCAAAATGTTTATGCTGCACAATTGTATTTACATAATTTATATTGTGTGCCCTACAACGACAAAATGCAGGCACTCCACCAAGTTGGAGATCGTCCCATGGATTTGCGTGCGAATCGCAGCCAGAGGGGACTGCCCGACTGCCACCAATAAAACCATTTTTAAAATCTAATCAATCGATTTTTCAGAAAAATACATATAAATACGATTAAGGAATTTTGAGTTACAATCCGTAAAGCTACCCAAACAATGTAAATTGTACTTAGAACCTAATACAAAGAAGTACCAATCCCAGCTAGAATTGAAAATTATATTTCATCTGTATCGGACATACAGGACCGATATGACCGTAAGAAAAAGCAGTCACTAAAAAACGTCCATTCATTAGGGTAGCCGTAGCCCTCTATCAAGTAATTGGAGCCCTGGAAAACTGTAAATCCCTCTTATTACTTTACTTTTCACAAAGGAATCGAAAGAGAACGAACCAATAACGTTCTAAACCATCACCATCTAGGTCTGTCTCTCTCTCATTCTGTCTATCCATCTCTCTCATAGCTGTCTGTCTGTCTCTTTTTAGCGGATAATAGTGCATCAGGCGCTTCGACAGCTGCACATGAAATCTTTTGGCACGTCTGGCCATCGAAGCTCGGGGCAGCACTTCGGATCAGACTCCACATCAACAGGCAGCTGGTGGGGGCGTGGCCGTGGGACGCACTCGGTGCCTGGATTACGCAAGCAGCGGATCCAGGAGCAGCTACAGCTCTTTTGTGTCTGCTAGGGCTGCTGGCCCATCAAATTATCAACTGTCAATACACAAAGAAATCGACAGCGACAGCAACAGCGACAGCGACAGGAACATCGATGGGGCAGCAGCAGCAGCAACCGTTGCCAGTCGAAGCGGAGGCTGTGACAATGTCAAAGGCGGCCAAATCCGCAGCTAGAGCGAGCGTCAAATGCTTTTATAATTGTCAAATGGCAATGGCAATGGCAACATACAATCCCCATCCCCACATGAAAATCCAGGAGGAGAAGGATGATGTGAATGGAACTGGGACTGAGACTGAGACTGGGACCGTGGAGGGAGACGATGATGATGCGAATGTTGCAAGTGTGGCAAATGCCGGCGATGATTTAACTGCAACTGCAGCGGGAATGGCAAAGGCTAAGGGCAAAGAAAGGGGAGCTGCAACAGTGCCATCTGGAGTTGCCGTTAAGCGACTGTCAGCGACACTTGTGGGCGTGGCACGGCCCTGGCTGGATCAACGATTATTGATGACTCGACGACGGAAGATGTGGAAGCCTGTTCTGGGGGACTCCGACTGCCTCTCGTGCTGATGCCGAATTGATGATGAAATCCATTTCCAAAAGTAGCTTAAGGTGTTTGCCCACTTGTGCTACAGTGAAGCCTCTCTCTCCTCTTCTCCCTGTCTTCCTATCCCCACCCTACCATCATTTTCATGCCCTGCAAAGTGAAAAGTTGGAGGAAATAATTAATATATATGAATATTAATTGGAATCGCCAGCTGGATGGCTGGATGCCTGGGACGCTGTAGTTCGTAAGTGTTATGCATAAGGTCAGGGCCGAAGAAGGAGCGAGAATAATTAAGTATAGCCAGAAAGGGAAGACCTTCTAGGAATCATTGAATAATAACAGGAAATATAGTCTTATACGAGTATGTATTATTGTAAGATGATGAAAAGTTATATGAAATATGCATATAACTAGATGATAAAATCGGTAAAATAGTGCAAACATCGACCCTGGCACAACCCTATAGTTTGAGAGAAATGCGTGTGTGAAATTCAATTCAGAAAAAATACACAATGGTAACAGTCCCTTCAATCATTGATGGTATGTTACTCTTCGTGAAAGGCAACTTTAATATGATTTGTTTGGAAGTAATATGTGGGATTGCTTACGAATGATGACACCCTTTCATGGATTTGTATTCTGCAAATTGCAGTGATTCAAATGTACATATTCTACTCCGTTTGAGATTCAGTGTATTCAGAATTCAGCTGCATTCTCATAAGCAAATTCAGCTTGCAGCAAAGCTTTTAAAGCTTGAGTTCCAAAGGGAGACAGAGCAAGAATAGTCAAACCAACAACAACAACAACCAAAACAAAAAAAAACCTTGCTAATCGAAGCAACATCAACAACATTAACAGTTCTTTATGGTTTTCTGTGACGATCCTAAGTCACATATTAAGCTTGCATATTCAAAAAACAACAACGCTACAGTCGAATCTCGCTAACTTGATCTTGGCTAATGCAATTTGGTAAGAGTACATTATTTCGTCGAATGAGAAACCAGTTTATCATTAATCGACCTGTAAACGAATTACCTAGAAAATAATATTTCTTCACTTGTACATTCATCTGAAAGGTGGTTCCACGTAGCCAAGTTTGACTGTAAAAAGAAGAATAGCAATACGAAGAAGAGTGAAAACGAAACCTATACGATGTACAGCAAGTTGAATTTTGGACTGCACTTCGTAAGCTTCTTAGGCCAATTAGACAATGCTGTTGAAGACTGTGTGACACTTCAGACTCCAGCTACTGACTGGCTACATAAACCTTATGGGAAAGCGGCGTACTTAGAAGGAGATTAAACTATTGGTGAGATGGGTTTATACATCAAAATTGCTAAATTTTAAATGAATGGAATGAAATTAATTTAATAGGAAAGGATTACTGCTGATACAGACCATTTTCCAAGAGAGAAAATTAATTATCTCCCAGTCGGTCAGTAGAATCGAAAGTAGGTGTCACACAGGCCTAGAAAAACAAACCAAACTGTTTTTTTTTTCGTGATTATTCATTATGTAAATATATTTTTAGAAACTCCAGACATTGAAATTATTAATCTAAATATGATACATATGATATAATAGAAGCACTGTATAGAAAGGAACTTTTTACGGGTTTGGAAAAAAGCGAAATTAATTATGAAAACAATTGACATTGATTTGTAGAAGACAGAAAATAGAACACAAGAATACTAAAATAAAATTGATTTTCAACTTATTATTTGTCAATATATAAAATCAAAGAAATATGAAGATTATTTAAAAATTTTTGGCCAACAAAAATCCAGCGGTAAATAGTTCCTTTGCCTTGAAAATAAATCAATGTTAATGTAATTGGTAAACAAAAAAAAAAAGAGTACCGAAAATGTTGTAAATTGAATGGAAACCCCTAAGGGAAGCAAATATAAATTAAAGTATAACAAATAAAATAATAATTAATTAAAGCTAAGCCTACATTTGTACATAGTAACCGAGAGTATGGAGTACTCTTGAGAGGAACTTCAGGATATGTAAATGTTAAAATAAAAATAAAATATACATATTTATGTGGAATGCATGCGCTCAGATTTTTCTAATCAAAACGTGTTGTGAAAGTTGTCTTCCCTAATTTACATTCTCTGCTCAATAAATTGTTGGTAAATTCCATTTTTACCCTAAGTTCTCATATGGTTTCGGTTATGTTATGGTACATAATCATAAAAGAGGAGACATAAAAGATTGTAACAAAAAATTCATTTAGTGTACATAGAAATACGATTATTGCGCAATAAATGTATCTTCATTTCGATTGTTTTTCAAGCGAAAGAAAAATGCAGCCAAAAATAAATGTTGTTAGCTGATAAGACCGCAAAACTAGTTCTAGATTTGAAATGGTAACCAAGTGTAAGTAAATGGTAAAGCAAATGTGTTTTCCATTGAATATACAATATTCATATCCCAATCAATAACCGAACACGTGTAAAGCCAACATAGATCTAGAGACGCCCTAGAGCCGTAAGTAATCATACGAATAACAGTGATGCAGGAACGCAGAAATGAAATAAAATAGACCCTAATCAATAAAGCAGGCATATGATGTAATAATTTAAAAAAAAGAATTATTGTAAAAAGTCATTTGAACGCAGAATTGGAATATACTAATAGTACTTATGTATGTATGGCATTTGTTTGAACAATAAGCAGGCGAATTATTTATATATAAATATATATAAATAAACAACAATAAATATTGAATAAAGTGGTGTGGGGTGTGATTACTTTACATTTTCACTGTTCTTCCAAAAGGTTGCAGCGCCATCAGGCGGACTAGCGGCGTACTTACCGCTGAAAAGCTCTACTCCACCAAGTTCTCTTGAGAAAGCTTTCTCTCATTTTCATGTAAGAATCATATAGAATGCCATTTTCTGGTGTCTCCGACGACTTGTCGAATACAAATTCATAATCTGCATTAGAGCGATATATTTTGTGGCCATAAGATTATAATTAAAATGTATTAATTCTCTAAGGTCTATGGAGAAATTTGAGAAAATTCTTACCGAAAGCTCCTCTCGGCTCTCTTTGACGACAGGTGCCGCCGTTACCATTTCATCTCTGTGTAGGTGCCATGTAGCACAATGAAGCAATGAAATTTTTCATGTATCACTTTATTGTGAAAACATTTTTTTTATAAATACATAATTAAAATTCTTTTTTAAAAACGAACAAATCTTTTAGAAAATTTATTAATTTATCATATAAAAAAGTCTATATTTTTTGCACATCAAATGTATAACACTTATTTATATCGATCGTATATCCCTCAAAAATGCCGACTTGAAATATTTTTCTTAAAAATTAAATATTTAAAAATATTTTATAAATTATATATGCCTACGTATTACGTACTTCAATATATATTTATGCATATTTAATAGTGGATAAACTGCGCGTTACGTTTGCTGATATCTGTAACCCGTCACACTGGAGGATCTTCCCGGAGCAGGAAAAAAAGTTGGTGATAAGGGCTTGTGCAAAATATATTAATCCGAATGGTACTCCTTTGATCCATCCATTTGTGACAAACTGAGGGATTCTATGCGTCGTAGTAATATTAAAAGATATTCTATATATTTTCCGTTATATTATTATTTCCGTTTTTTTTTTGTATGTTTATATAAATATAAAATGTATATTTATCTACATTTCTACACGGTACGCAATTAGTAAGTTTGCGTTTCTCTCTCGCTTTGCTCCATTGGATCACGCACACTGCATGACGAAGAGTGTGTGAGAAGGAGTGAGTGAGCGCGTGGAAGTCGTTTTGTAGCCACTGAATTCACGTTTGTTCTTTATGGCTATAATAACGATCCGATCGGATCCATATTTGGTTATTTGCTAGATATGGTCCTTAGCTATGACTGTGAGTTTTCTTGTATTTTCGAAACTGTGGATGTGGTCTGCAAGTACGGAGGGGTGGGTACTTGTGCAGGGCAGCCGATTTTCAAGCCGAAAACATTTGTATGAAATCCTTTCTTCTTCGAAAATGCTATTTCGTTTGATTGGTTGGATAATAAAATATTTGTAAATATATTATCTGCATTCATGTTTAGTTTCTTAGTAACATGTACTAATTTAAATATGTATATAATACCAGCTTGAATTCGCAAAATTGTTTTCGATCCCCCATCACAATTTCATAATAAATCGTTTGCTGTGTACGTGGGTACATTCACAAATACATGCATGCATAGTTACTTCAAAAATCTTACCTTCTTGAAGTCATGTATGAAATACATAATTATTTTTATATTTTTTTTTATATTAAACAAAATTAGCAAAAAAAGGATATGGAATAAGGAAATGTCTTCAAGTGTCGTAGTCTATAATCAACAGTCTCTAATGCACACACCAATGTACTTCGACAGAGGCGTTGTAAAAACCAACAGCCTGGAGCCAGCTCTTAAATTAAGCAGAAATTATGGCGTTACTTATCTTACTATGTATTTATTGTCTTGCCTATAATTATTTTTGTTGCTATCCGAATTATAGTCAAATCTATATTATTTTTTTAAGGTGTTTAACATATATATGCATGTGAGAGCGTTAGAGTTATTTTTTTACATAGGCAATAACAACACAATTATGGGCATTCTTCAGCGTTCAAGTACAATGATGGACATATAAATAGGGAAAGTGAGAATATGAATGAATGTGAAAATATACAGGAGTAAGACAGGTGGCTAATTACTCAACACTGGTTAAGAATCAATCTATTGTTTTTTTTTTAGCTTGTATCAACTTAAACTTCACTTACAACGAAAACGAGAGTCCAATAAAACAAGAGCCAACAGCACAACGCTATCTAGTGAATTGTTTTTGGGAAGAGCGACCCTGACCTTTGACCAGACAACCAAACAATACCCAGACGCATTCAGGTAGATGACCCCAGTAGAAATAAAACGCATACTTTTTGCAATATTTTACTGGACCAATAAAACGCTGGACCCTTCCGCAATAAAATATTCAAATTTTATATATTATTATTATTTATTTTTCGTATGTATAACTTTTATTTGCGCTTAATCGAACACAAAGCATAATAATGCGAAAACTTGGAGCCCAGCATATTTAAAATATGTGCCATATTCAATATTTTATTGCCCTCTAGAATCAGCAGAATATCAGCAGCAAAGCATAGAAAGCCAAAACCCTGTTGTTTTTGATGGATGAAGTGCAGCTGCTTATCTCTCTTCTATCTGATTACCGTTCAAGCGCGCATAAGAGCTATTGGGCTTTTACTCATCTAAGTACTTCCCAAACGAGACTTAACTATTTTTGGAATGGCTAAATTTATAGGTCAGCGTCTATTCAAACAACTTATAAGTATGTCTGTTCAGTCATGTTTTGCAACTGAATACTGACTAGGAAATGCAGCACCATACATGCATATACATACTATATAGTAGGTATATGCAATGATCGTTTAGGAAGTACTTACATGCATACTTAAGAAAAAGCTTTCGCCAGAGCCGTTATGATATCCGACAAAGCACACGCTGCTAATGGATCGAGAACCGCTCTGGTTGCCAACTCTCTCTTTTGCTCCGCGCAGGTGAGCTTTCACGTGAAGGTCAGTTGGGACGTGGACCAAGACTGAGCTTCAGTCAACGCGCTTCAATGACGACCACAGCACGCCCCGCACTTACTAGGAGACTCCGTCGCATTGCCTGAATAATACTTGAAAATCTATGGAATATACTACCAATTACTAAAGCGCGTTGCACAATTCCCTGACTTGACCTTCGGACCGACCACCACCTGGACAAAAATTCATTTTCGCTTTTCATTCAATTTGCATTCCCTTTTTCTTTTGTGTTTTTCGCACACGTGTTTCTGTTCCTTCCCACACATACACACACAGACATCACTTCGGCAGTGACTTTTTTTTTGGGTTACATTGAAAAAAAAGTACTTCGACTGCCAACAAAATCCCATTACGACCCGACCTCTAATTTGACCAATTGACGGAAAATTAATTGCGCTTAAAATTAATTAACAAAACTATGCATATTTTTTTAACGTGAAACGAGCGTGTTATTTGTCCATCTGATTTTATAGTTGATTGTGTTTAAGTAAATTAATTGAGCTATTTATGTTTTTGTGCTTCGATCCAAATTCAATTTGCGGTAAGTCGTGTGTTTTTGGCGGGAAGCAGACTCCCAATTTCGTTCTCTCTCTTTCCTTCTTTTGGCGCCAAAATGAATGAAAATGTTGGGAAACATTTCGGGCGGACTGTAAAGGGACCGCGCTAGTAGCACCTGTTAACCTGTGCGGCGCCTGTTCAATGGGAAGAGAGCTAACATACTTTACTGTTAACGTCTCTGTTAACAGATGTGTGCTCGAATGCGGAAGGAAGAGAAGAGAACTTACATATGTTTACATATTCTATGCTGGCAACAATCCAGCAACGTTCGGAAAAAGTACGATTTGTCGGCCCCACTGGCTCTGCCACTGTCACTCTCTCACGCTCTCACTCTTTTGCGATCCAAGTTTTGTTTTGTTTTTGTGTCTCTCCTCTCGGTTCATTGACCCAGCAACAACAACGCTCGGGAGATAATCTCCCACTCGCATTCATCGCGACTACAGTTAGGATTTCCAGTGGTCATTCCAGGTCCCTAATGGGGGACCTGGCCGTTTTGCCCTCCCGACAGCCGCGTTCAGTTGCCTTCGAGAAGTCATACTTAAAAGTGGTAGCCCCGAGGAAAGCTTAAGTTTCGCACGATCTAGTCTGACGCAACCCCGTCCACTACCACACACACACACACGCACACACACAAGCAAACACGAAACAATTTGATACTGATATATAAACTGATATATACACCTTCGATCCACTGTGTAGATCACAATTTAAATGCCTTTCGTCGAGAGATTTCAACAAATACGAAATTTTGTTATGAACGTCTGTCTCGTGGAGGCCATCCAATTCGTCCAGGACTTAACGCATGCCATTTGCTTGGACTTTCAGGGATTGTTCAACCTAAAGTAGAGATCCCCGAGCGATCTCTCATCGGTAAGTCTCGCCGCAAAAAGTGAAAGTGACGGAAGAAGTGACAAAGACAGTGAAATTACTGTTTCTGTTCGTTCTTTGCCTCTTCTACGACTCTGTCCGTCTGCCTACTTTACATCATTTTCGTTTTATATGATCTCGCTGAAGGAAATGGTGCGACGAACGAGGCAAACCTCATGGCAGGTTAAAGCCTGCCACAATCGTCTTGAGAGGTTAGGTTCTACAAAATTAGGAGCAACAGAAAAAAGCGAAATTGAAACAAAGGTTATAAATTATGATAGAAATAATATACTGTGTGTTTTTCTTAATATTTAAAACAAAGGTATACTACTAAAGAATTAGGAGACAAGATATTTATGAAAAGTAAATGAGGAGGAAACAGAATATAAGAAAAGTTGAGTTGTACATTCAATCTGCAATCGAAAGAAATAATTTGGATTTAAAATACCATTTATTTAGAGCGTTAATGAAGTTTTTTGTTTGATAGGGTATTAAAAAAACATATAGTTTTGTATAAAAATTTTTCAATCAAAATCAAAATGAAAATTAAATTTTTTAAGAAATATTATATGACTCAAAAAATTAGTCTAATTTGCACTACCCTTTAAAAATATTTACATTTATTCATCTCTTTCTAAGTAGCTTTAAATCGGCATATCTGTGTGTACCAATCAAACTGGATAATGTCGATATAGGTCTTCATAGTCTTCATTGCCTTTCAAATTTCCTTCACAGCTCTCTTCATCAGTACACCTGTAAGCAATATTATCACATTACGCACCCCCTCGCACGCATCGCACATCGCTGACCAGGAACGCATCGACCAACTGGAGAAAGCCCACTAGAACCACCCCTGAGACGGACATTTTGATTGGTTTTAAAAACTAAACGACTTTTCGAAACACCTACACCCACACGCACACCCTCAACTATTGACCTCTGACCCTCGAATCTTTGGTAGAGCCCCGACCACCGACAAGCAACCGCCGACAAGCACGATGCTCTCCTGTGCCTCATTCAACAAACTGATCTACCCCTCGGCCGCGGATGTGTCCGCCGTGGCCAGTGGCAAGTCGTCCACCGTGGCCGTGGATGGCGGTGTAGGTGCTGGCTCTGGCGGCGGGGTCAATCCTGTCGGCATTGGGTCCCTGGCCAGTCTCCAGGCCCTGCCATCGGGTACCTTGGCCGGAAGCGGGGCACCCAGCGAGACCCAGAGCGAGATCTCGTCCGTGGACAGCGATTGGAGTGACATACGTGCCATTGCACTGAAGCTGGGCGTACAAAATCCAGACGATCTGCACACGGAACGTTTCAAGGTTGATCGACAGAAACTGGAGCAGTTGATAAAGGGTAAGACTGCTGCGAAAACTGCCTAATCCCAACTCCTGCTAATTGTAATTATAATTTCTTTCCAGCGGACAGCGCCATCGAGGGCATGAATGGGGCTGAGTATTTCTTTCATGATGTAAGTGCAGACTCTATATTACGATGTAATGTTATAAAGATACAATAAGATCCTGAAAAGAGATCTTTGAGAATAGAAAATTAATATAAGCTATCAAGTTGTACTTTTTTAAATGGAAAATGTAGTTTAGCTTCTGAAAACTTTATCCATAAGCCTTGTAAACTGTACAACTCAATCAATCAATACTCAATCATCATTTTCATCCTCTTCCACACATTCTCTATTGATTTCTGTTAGCTTTCCTAGAATCTGTATATAAATACCTCTATTCTCCAGCTCTTATGTTAGTATATTGTGTGGTAGTGCCCCCATTTAGGTTTATTGGATTTGATTAATTATACAATTTAAACATGTATTTATTGCATTTCGTAGTACAGCACTCATATTTAAAGTCTTTTAGATTTATTTTAGATTGCAATGATTCCAAAATGAGTTGTAGTATTTTTACCTACATCATTAATTTAATTGCTTTCGCATTATTATTTAGGATTTATTGGAAGAAAAAATACATTATAGAGTTCATTGAAAAGGATTTGCTTTAGATGTCATATTATGACTTTAGCTTCACTTAAATCTAAAACCTTTATCGTGCGAACAAAATTTTCAGTATCAATGGTTGTTTTTTTGGTAAATCGACAGTTTATAGCATACATTTTCAGTGAATAACGCAAAATTTTTAGTACCTTATGATTAAGGGAGAGAAAACTGATTACTGACGGACGATTCAAATTGTAATTATTTTTATTAGATCATGAACACGACAGATACGTATGTAAGCTGGCCTTGCAGACTCAAGATCGGCGCCAAGAGCAAGAAGGGTAAGAATATTACATAACTATACAGAACTATGGAATGTCTTCATTACGTATGTACATGATTATATCTCTTCTCTTTTTTGGGCAGATCCCCATGTACGGATTGTGGGCAAAGTGGAGCAAGTGCAGCGTGCCAAGGAGCGCATACTGAGCAGCCTTGACTCGAGGGTAAGATAAAGCGTAAACGATGAGGCACTACGTAAACCATCTAAATGTTGTATTTGATGGGTATTTGCAGGGCACTCGTGTGATCATGAAGATGGACGTCAGCTACACGGACCACTCCTACATAATTGGACGCGGCGGGAACAATATCAAGCGCATCATGGACGACACTCACACCCATATCCACTTTCCGGACTCGAACCGTTCGAATCCCACTGAGAAGTCCAATCAGGTGTCGCTGTGCGGCAGTCTAGAAGGAGTCGAGCGGGCCCGTGCCTTGGTCCGTCTATCCACCCCATTGCTCATCTCGTTCGAGATGCCCGTGATGGGTCCTAGCAAGCAGCAGCCGGATCATGATACGCCCTACATCAAGATGATTGAGAGCAAGTTCAATGTGCAGGTGTGTCCATCACTAGATACATACTTCTCATTGTGCACTTCATTCTCCGATCACTGATCTCTCCTCTAGGTCATATTCTCAACACGTCCGAAGTTGCACACCTCGCTGGTCCTGGTGAAGGGCTCCGAGAAAGAGTCGGCCCAGGTCCGTGATGCCACCCAGCTGCTGATCAACTTTGCCTGTGAGAGCATCGCGGTAGGTTTTACCCACTTTGCAACTGATCTTGAAAAATGGGGGGCGTGGTGAGTGATTTTCCTTCTTGATTGTTGCAGAGCCAAATCCTCGTCAATGTCCAGATGGAGATCTCTCCGCAACACCATGAGATCGTCAAGGGGAAGAACAACGTGAATCTGTTGAGCATCATGGAACGCACGCAGACCAAGATCATATTTCCCGATCTTAGCGACATGAACGTAAAGCCGCTGAAGAAGTCGCAGGTGACGATCAGCGGACGCATCGACGACGTCTACAAGGCGCGACAACAATTGCTTGGCAATTTGCCCGTAGCATTGATATTTGACTTTCCCGACAACCAGAACGATGCCTCCGAAATAATGAGCCTCAATACCAAGTACGGTGTCTACATCACGCTGCGACAGAAGCAGCGCCAAAGCACACTGGCCATCGTGGTCAAGGGCGTCGAGAAGTTTATAGGTAAACGAATGTCAATTGACTTCGAAATACTAGTAGTAACTAAATTATTGCTTCCTAACTTACGTGTATGTATGGGGTTTCTAGAAGAATATGTTTTTTAAAGGGCTCAAGGGAATCTTTCTAGTCACTGCAGGCGCCCAAGTATATTGCTTGATAATAGTATTTTGTTATAAATTAGACCTCCGTTTATGTCTTATTACCATCGCCGTGTTGGCTTCGATCACACTCTTCGCCATTTTCATAACGATAGTTTCTTACTCGATATGTGCTATTGATATCTGTCATGAATAACATCGATAAGGAGGGAGATACCGACGCGCGCTACATATTAATTGAATATTTGTTCACACTCTCGATCTTGTTTAAATGTTTCTACTGCCACTACATCACATTTTTCCCGTCCTTTCCTGTCCGTTTTTAAGCTGATTTTATGAGCTATGATTTCTCACCTTAGGACTGACGACAGCATTCATATTCATTTATAAGATTAGGCAGCAGTTTATATACACTAAGCAATCATAAAGCACAAATGACAAGAATGTTTGAATTTCCACTTCGATCAGTAAATTTACGTGAAATAATCTGTCTAAATTTCACTGCTTCTTAGACCGCTATATAAATATATTAAGATACTTGAAAGTATATTTTTCGATATTATTGTGTGAAATACTACGAACGAACGAAATGTACTACGAACGAGTAGCAGTTTGTCTTACTTACTTCTTTCAGATCTGTTATCGTTACTTTTTTGACTTCTATCTGATGAGATCCTAAAAATCTTTGACAGGAAAACTTCTTTATTTGATTTCCCATTTATGACCCAATTATGATTCAGTGGTCTTTTAATTACATATTTATCCAGAATACGTATCAGATACTGCATCCATAAAAATGGATTCATTCAAGTATGATCCACTACATTTTAGTATAGAAAAGTCGTGGGTAGATCCATCTGGCTATCATATGTATTATAGTTCCATTACTAACATTGTAATCTTTGATCATCGTTTGTTATCAACATCAGATCCTTATAATTCCCTTTTGTTGCTCTTCGCAGACAAGATATATGAGGCTCGCCAAGAGATCCTTCGCCTGGCCACGCCCGCTATCAAGCCAGAAGTCCCTGATCACTACTTCATGCCCAAGGACAAGGACCTAAATCTGGCCTATCGCACACAGCTGACGGCTCTTCTCGCCGGCTACGTGGATAGTCCCAAGACTCCGTCGCTGCTGCCGCCAGCACTCGCGGGACAACTGACGCCGTACGCCAACAACAACCATCTGCTGCTCAACGCGAATTCGGCGGTGGGTGGCCTGGCCACGCCCACCGGCATCTGTGCGCCCACCCAGAAGTACATGCAGCTGCATAACAGCGCTTTTCAGCACCAGCAGCTTCAGGGACAGGGGCAGGTGCAGGGACCGGGCCAAGGACGTCCTGGTCCTGTGCCCAACCACAACAACAACTATCTGCAGGTTCCTGGCACGGCTAATGCGGGTGCGGGGGTTGGGGCTGGAGCGGGCATGCTTAAGCCTCCTCCTCCGCCCTCGTCGGGTGTCGGCGGCGGAATGAATGTCTCGCCGAGGAACAGCTGCAGCCAGAATACGAGCGGCTACCAGAGCTTCAGCAGCAGCACGACCTCCTTGGAACAGTCGTATCCACCGTACGCCCAGCTCCAGGGAGCGGTGTCGTCCACCTCGTCGACGGGCTGCGGCAGCCGGGCCCACTACTCGCCGGACTCCACCTACAGCAGCGAGGCGGGAAGCATTGGCGGGGCCGCTCGTCTCGGACGGCGCCTCAGCGACGGAGTTCTTCTGGGCCTGGGCAACTCCGGAGGCGGCGGAGCCCACCTGCTGCCCGGTAGTGCAGAGAGCTATCGCAGCCTGCACTACGACCTGGCAGGAGGCGGCGGAGGTGCTAAGCACCACCACCAGCATGCCACGCATCGCGCTTTCGACTTTGATATGAAGCGCGCCCTGGGCTTCAAAGCCATGGAGCGGACTCCGGTGGCGGGAGAGCTTCGCACCCCCACCCCGGCCTGGATGGGCATGGGGCTGAGCTGCACCTCTCCGGCTCCGATCGAGACGGTGGACGACAACGGGGCTGCTGGCGGCGGTCAGGGTTGGCGTATGCCCCCACCGCCGCCAGGACTCAGCTCTCCGTACGGACTGAGTGCCACCACAGGACTGCTGGATGCCACGCCCGTGAACCGCCGGATGCAGTTGTCGCAGCACAAGGACATTCAGACACTGCTCACAAGTCTCGGCCTGGAGCATTACATCAGTGAGTAAATAGGAAATATATGGGATATTGGAGAAGTACGATTAGTAAAGTACCGTTTTGATACACACTAGGCACTGGTTGGGAAAATTAAACTCAGTTTTCAGGAGAGATATTTAAGTTAAAGCTTGACAAACAGGTGTCGCAAATGCGATGTGTACTGGATTCGTATGATCGGATCCCCATGTCAGTCACTAAGAGTCAAGAGGTGCAGAATTATCCTCAGATGAATTTACAACTCCATTCTCTCAAATCAGATGAACTTTTTTCAAGATGGGTTTAGAAACAATAGAAATACTCCCTTGATAATATTTATCTATATTAGTTAAGATCTATTATTAATCACTCGGTAAGATAATTCAGTTTCGAGTTACATTGCGATGAAATATGGAATCAATGTGTTTCTATAATACAATCCCCATTTTTACCTGCAGAGATCTTTGTGCTCAACGAAATCGATCTGGAAATGTTCACCACGCTGACCGAGGAGAATCTAATGGAGTTGGGTATCACGGCATTTGGAGCCCGAAAGAAGCTGCTGGCGGCCATACACACGCTGCTGGCCAACGAAGCGGCCTGCAGCAGCATGCCCAGCAGCAGCTCCTCACAGAACTCCACATCGCCGCGGTTCTCCGGCAGTGCGGCCCCAGGCGCTGAGCGCCGTCCCTCCAACCAGTGGTGATCGGCGATCGGTCATCGACTCCCGGAGAACACTCGTTTATTTATTATTCAATCGCACCCTATCATCCTTTAGTCATATTATTCTTAAAATACTTTTTTTCCTGCATGCAAAACTATTCGTTTTTTGGTAATTCTAGACTAAGAAAAAAAGATGGGAAACCATTCCGGAAAATGTTAAAAAAAATTTGAATACTTGTCAGAACCTTCCCTTAATTACGCCTGTGAGAAAAGATCACTTACACACACACTCACACACAGAGAGAGAAACTCACACACAAATGCACACAGATTGGCCTTGACCTTGACTTATACTCGTTTTTGTACTCAAATTCTAAGTAACAAAGTGCGCAGAGGGCTAAGGGCTAGGGGCGGGGCGAGTATTCAGTATCCCACAATTACCTATTTTTAAGCGATTTATTTATTCCGAAACCAACTATTTATAGAAAACCCTCCCAAACAAAAACATATTGTGAATTATTTATGAAATCTAACTAAACGAAGTCCCCCTATTGTAAGAAATGAATTTATGTAAATTAACTGAAAACGAAAGAAACCCATACCATACGAAAAGAAGCAACGGAAACAGCCACACATTTGATATGAATAAATTGATGTCATGGAAAAGCTATCAGCTGTTTGTTTCCTTTAATCGTGGATGAAAAGAAGGTGGGACTTTCTAAAAGACTATGTATGGTATGGTATCAAAATGTATAGTTAATTGTGAAAGTTTGTGTATTAGGTTGCTCTATTCTGCGTATGCTCTTCCAGATGAAATTATGATCGAACCATAGTAACTATATGTAGATCTGCAAGAGTATCAAATGTTTCAACCCCGAAGCAAGGCTTTCTTTTTTTGCTGAAATTTTTTTGCATTGATCTCTTACTATCTCTTAGATTCCCGTTTGGATACAATTTTTGTGAAATATTTAACACTTTCTGCTCCATTATCGACCAGTTTTCCGCCGAACTCTTCGTTCGAACTCGTTTCTCGCTTGGTGAATGGTGAGCCATTGCCTCTTGGCATCCGGGATGGGGCTAATGACTTTATTGTCTCCAGTTGCCTGCATAATTTGTATTGCATTATTCCCATCGTCATCGTCGGCAGAGTTCGAGGAAGCCCTGCCAAGAAAAATGCTCGTATCCTGAGGCAACAAAATCTAATGTGTGCTGCTGTCCTTACACGGAGCTGTGTCTGCATCTGGAGGACGGAACAGACAGCAGGCAGGAGGCAGGAAGCGGGGCTGGGCTAATGAACTGGAAATGTTTTGCTCCAATTGTGGGGATGGATGCTGGATGCTGCTGCTGCTGTACTGCGGTCATCAGCATAATTGCAAATTTTTATGATTATGACATTTTGGGGCCGTAAGTGTTTCTGCCAATGCCAATGGGAACTTATCCCAGCACCCAACTCCGTTGCCTGTTGTCTAGGGGTCATTTACATGGTCGATGCTCCACTTGAGGTTCGCATCGAGTGGGCTTTTTGCAAATTTTTGGCAGGCGGTTTGATTTACAATTATGCTGTATCCCAATCGGGAGTCTGATCCCAGCCAGAAAGACGCCTGCTGTGGCCATTCCTGGTCATGCACCAAAGTCGGCTCAGAATTGCAAAGATACTCGTAGGTGCATGCAATGGTGCTGGAATTTTGATTTACGAAGATTTTACATCGATGCAGCAGGGGTATTGTGTATGTTTAATTGTGGATAAATGTCGGCGACTTCTTTGATTTGGTTTCAATAAAGATACATCTCTAGATTTAAAAAAAAATTCACCATGCACATCAAAGGTATAAAGCAGTGCATCCGAAGGAGAAGTGTGGTGATTGTGTTAATGCACTGCTTGTGGAGGGGTATTATTAAGATGGTAAAGCAGTTCATGTATCAGTTCGTATAAAACGTGATGGAGAAAAATATACTGAAAGGAACGTAAAAATCAATAAAATCATTATATCTAGTAATAAGAACACCAAACAGATGTATTTCCGCATAAATATTCCCTGTTATACTTGGATCATAAATTTAGATTATCATTTACCACTTTAAAGCAGCTTCTTCAACATTTCCCCTTCTTAATATATTCAAGCAGTTTTTACTAGTTGAAATCACGGTTAATAAGCAGTTTACAGGGGTAAGCCGGGTGGGGCAACAATATTAAAGCAGTGTGCATAAAAGGGGAATGAGAATGACAATTTATGGTTAATTTTGTGGCAGGTCCTACGATAACTAAAAAAGCAAGAAGCAATATGAATATAATATGTACCGCTCGAATCGTTTCCATGTATTTTCATAAAAAATATACTTATTTAAAGCACACTGAGAGAAACATGCTGAAAGAGACAGATCCATACATATTTCAATAAAATATTCGGTCTTAAAATTAAAATACATATAGTTAAGTTAAAGAGAACTTACACCTTGTTTAAGAATAAATGCATTAAAAAGTATTTTTAATACAGACCACATATAATCTAACTATAATAAAATAACAAAATTATATAATATTCGTAGGAAAATATATTTAATTAAAATATGAAAATATTTAATTTAAATATGAAAGTATTTAATTAAAGTTAGTAAATACACTTTAATTGTAATAATTCCACTCTCGGTGCAGATATATATGTACATATTATTCATTTGAATCTGCGTATCTGGAAATTTGGTTATTTTTAAAAGAAATCAAGGAAAGCTCATTGTTTATAATTCGTCGTGCACATGACCTTGTTTATAGCAGCATTAAAAGACTAACAAAGAAATACTGTCCCACGAAACATTTTCATTAGCACATTTCCTGACATGTGTATAATTCTCGAAAAGGGCTAGCCCTGTGCAAAACGGTGTCCGAGAATGGTGTCTATCCAGTGGCTTAATTCTGACTACATTCTGCGGTAGCCCTGACCCTGCTCTTTGTTCTCCGGCTATGCGGTAGCCACAGATGATAACCGGCGACTTGGTCTACCCCGGAGAACCACAATACAGTAAAATTCTGATTGCACTGCAGTGCAATAATTGACGAACGTCAATTGCCGTGTCAACCCCAAGCTCAGCCCCTATGAAACCCGTTCGTCGTACCGGTATGAACTGCAAGTCACCAGAAAGCTCATTAACACTCTCAATGGAAATACGGTAGCGGCTACAGTAGTAGACGTGGGGGCACCTAAGAGATTTGTCAGATTTTTCAAAACGCTCAGCGTGTAGTAGGCAATTTCTTGAAATTGAAAAAACTTCACCTACCCTAAAGTTCGGAGGGGAAAAAGAGCTGGCAACCGCTGCAAGCAGTGTGGCGTTTCCACCACATTTGGCACTCTCCCTTCATGCAACGGACACGCTTCGCTCTCTTGTTGCCTTTCTGTCTCTCTGTTTCTCTTTTTACTTACTCCCCCACTGCTGGTCGCTCTCTCGGCATGCTTCGTCCTGGCCTCGTCGTGCTTCGGTCGTCATGTGCTCTGGTTCCCCATTCGCAGGATATCGCAGGATATGGGGCTCGGACTCGTGGGAAATCTGTGCCTTGGACTCGACGCTACGCGAGGCGACTCGGGCTGGCCGTCTGCTGCTGCAGTTTACATTGCGTTGTCTTTGCGTGAGGACGTGCGTAGATCTTGTTTTTCCCATTCCCATTACGAGCGTGCTTTTTCCGTCGTGCGTCGGAGTTGCACGGAATAAAAATAATAAAACCCAGAACCAGAACCTGAATCCGATTCCGAGTCCAAGCTGAAGCGAACAGACAGACCGCAGACAGCAGAAAATTGCGAGAATTCGACTGCTTCATTGTGCTTCTAAAATTGCATTCAAAGACCTGAAATCTAAATAGAAAAAACACAGGACCCACCAAGATCCGGCCGGGGATCGACCATAGCTGTCCTCTGTTACTGTGTGCGATGCTGTTGCTTCCTGTGTCCGTGCCAATGAGTGTGTGCGTGTGTGTGTGCAGTCACGTGTTCTAAGGTGATTTTAACGAGTTCCGTGATACGCGAAATGAGATAAGAAAAAAGCGGAGCCAAGGAGGAGAACAGAGAGAGGAAGAGAGAACAGCGCAAAATAAATCCCCTTGCCCCTGGCCAAACACACAGGATAACCGCTCGTTGGCGTTAGCTGTCGCCTCGCTGCCTCTTAAAGGATTCGAGGATAAATCACCCTAAAATTGCATAAAACATAAAGCAAAATTGTTTGGAAAACTGTGCAGAAAAAAGAAAACCAGAAACAACGGGAAAACCAAAACATAAAAAAGAAAAAATCTGCGACTTTTTATCAACGGCAATATATTGATCAACAAAAAATAACAAAATCTTAATCAAATACATTCGAAATATATGATCTGAAGGTAGGAACTGGATTTCATAGATATTATATTTTGGGTATAGTCAATAGGATAAACCGAGAATTAATAGTCTCATCATCTTGTTTTGAATTATCGTTAAGATTATCACATTAAACATCACTTACATCCAGTAACTGCTGGAGAAAATTATTCATCATCGGGGGGAAAAAACATCATACCTTTACGGTCCGTTAAAGAAAAGCTTAAAATGATCGCCAGTTCCCAAAACAAAAAAAAAGGCCACAAAAAAAAAATATATATATAAAACATAATCCATTTGATACATACTCCATAAGTTAATAAATAAAAAAAAAAAAACAAACAAAAAGACGACATTTAAAGAATTTTTCAAGAACATAATAATATAATGTTCCACCGTACAATGCACAGTCTTATTAAAATAAATCAAAAACGGCAAAATATATCAAATATTTATTTACTTGCCGCTTTATATGTTTTTGAGTGCTCTACAATTACATATATGTAGATATATATACATTTTTATTGTATATCCATTCGGAATGTATAATTTCGATCAAATCCCCAGCCAATTTCAGGGATAACCTTTCACATCCAAAGCAGACAGAGACCAAGATAGACAGACAGAGGGGCGTGCCCGAAGTTATCCGAAAAGCAAACAAAACTTGTCAATTGCATCGAGACGTGTCCCTCCCTCCGTGCTTTTCCATATACCTCTCCCCGTCTCTCATTGGGCACATTTGCCATAGTTGTTGGGAAACTACGACTACGAGTATGCAACAATGTCTTGGGCAGGCTCTGCTTCTTCCGCTTTCGTCCTTCTTTGTTGATGGAAAATGTCAAATGCCTAGCAGAGTTTTTCCCGCTTCCTCTTGCTTTTTTGCCTCTCCCCATATTTTCCTGACTAGGCAAAATCGTATTTAGTGGGACAATCAATACTGGCCGGGGGACTGGGGGTAGTAAAAACATTTATTTGATTGACTGATTGATATGTGAAATGATTTATTACTGCCGAGTGGGAAATGGCGGAGCCTTAAAGCAAACTGTCCACACAGAATGCTGGCCCAGAAAGACTTTCCAACCAAAAAAAAAAAGGAATTTCTTAACCCGTCGAGAAGGAACATTTATTTCTCTCTTTCTCTTTCTCTATCTCTTCATGCTTCTGTTCTTCTGTTTGTTCCTGTGTTCCTCTGCTTCTGTTTCTGTTTCAGTTCAGTTGCACTTTCTGGGAGCCGTAAAAATGGCTCCGAAAAAAGTTCTCCGTGCGCTTTATGTGAGAATAAAGTAAAATAATGAAAGCTATTTAGCACAGCCAAGGGGCGCATTAAGTCGTC